TTTTATTTGCAAATACATTTCATACAAATTTTACAAACAAAACGTTTTATTTAATAAAGCAAAATAGCTGTTTGAAATTCACATTCGAATCCCATTAGAGATCAACTTTAGAATTCGATTAGAGAAATAATATCTTCTAGAGTCGAGAACTATGGGCTTGTTCGAGTTGCAATCACAACCGCAGTGTTGCGCGAATTATTAAAGTATCACGTTCTGTGTGAATTTCAAGCAATGTATTATCAGTTGGGTAGTTGCAACAATGTTGCCATTTTTCGTCAGTACGGCAGTAATGCCGCTTTTATTACGTGCCTCGAACAGGCCCTATGTCCCATTTTTGTTGAGATCGGTATGAGTCTCGATAGTTTTTCGAGTCCTTCTCTAACTTTTGAGATTGGACTAACTAACCTCAATGTTTGCTGGGCATTATCTTTGCCACTGGGAATAGGAGGGAGATTGGTCGGTAAGGGTCTCCTGCGTCCGCCTTCTTACCTGGGTTAAGGAGGGGAATGATCCTACCCATTTTCCACATCTCAGGGATGATCAGGGTGGACAGTGACAAGTTGAAGGCTGCTGTGATATACTCGACTCACGCTGGCCCTAGCTTTTTCAGCATCTGCATCGAGATTCCGTCAGGGCCTAACGCCTTGGATGCCTTGGCGTTCTTTACAGCTGCCTGCGTCTCTTCTGGTGTAAATCACGTTAGTGTGTCTCGGGGCGGAGTTTGTGTGCTTTTTGTAGCACACTGCTTCGCGCTATGGGACTACAGCGGCCAAAAGTAGTAAAAACGGATTAGCGAATTCTGATGCATAGTAATTACGCAGATGCATAGAAAAATATCCAGCTAACTCAAACCAAAAAGAATTTTTGATAAGAATGCATATTTGCAATCATAACACGAGCTTAAAGTAGGAGCAATGCGAAAAACTAAATTTGTAAGCAAAAATTTTGATTTTGTCGCAAGTAATTTGAATTTATTTGCCACTTGTGCGGATATATAAAAAGCCAATCTAATTGATGAGCAGTTTTTGAATATATCTGTGGTCAAACATTGCTTTAAATTTTTATAAATCTTTTGAAATGTATTAAACAGCTTACCTTGAAACTCTACATAATTATGTGAGTGTAAAAGTTTTCGAGTGCTTACTTTAAAATGGGATTCAAAGTTCTTTTTCCGGAAAAGGTGTCTAAACTTGACGATGATGGAATAACTAGTTTAAAGAAATTATTTGATTTTTACTGTGGCGATTTGGATGGAGATTTTGAAGATGTTAAAATGGAAATAGATATTTGGTATAAAATTTGTTTCAACTTGAAACCTGAAGAGAGGCCAAAAAAAGTTTACCAAGCTATGCAGCTGTGTCGAAAGGACATGTTACCAAATATATTCAATTTATTTACCATTCTACTAACTCTCCCCATAACAACATGCGAGTATGAAAGATCATTTTCATCACTCCGTAGACTTAAAACATATTTAAGAAGCACAATGTCACAAGGACGATTGAACGGTTTAGCACTTCTTTATTTGTATAGGGAACTCACTCCCACAGTGGAAAAAATTATAGACAAACTTGCCGAGACATCGAGGAAAATTGACATAAAAGTGTAAAAACTTCATGGAATTAAATAATTTATTTTTTTAAATTCTTTTTAAAATTTTGTATTACTTTTGAAAGCTGAGCGGATCTTGTGTTTGTAGAACTTTTGATTAAACAAGTAATTTCTAGGCAAAAACACAACTTCAATTCTCATATAAAAATTTAGAAGTACCATTAATTTCTTAAAAATGTTTGAATTCCTTGTTAATTTTATGTAAATAAAGTGCAATTTATGAAACTTTAAGAGAGTACCTATATTAATTTATTACATACTGTACATAAAACTTGCATAAATGTATTTTAAAGAGCGTATTATCTGAAGCTAAAATTCAGTATTTTCTGGTGGTATATCTTTAGAAGTATAAACCCCCCCCCCCCCCCCCCCCCCCCCCCCCCCAAAAATATATGCCTGGGTGCGCCCCTGATTAAGACACTAAATATTTTTAAAATATGTTCACTAAAATTTTATTAACCTAAATGTAAAGTTTTTGCGAAGTGTTTATCGGACGTAATGTAAAATTTAAACATTTTTAATATGAGATATGAACTATTATTAAAAGGTAAATGTTAATACAACTTTTTTATATATAATCCCAAATTTGTGATATAAAATCCACTCTACCAAAAAACTTAAATTGGATAACACTGCTTCGAATTTTTACAATAGGTGCATTCTTTTGCAACCGAGCTACAAAAGAACACTCTCTTAAATGACGAAATACACGCAAAGCAACAACACAAACTCCGAGCTCAGCCAGGTCGGTTAAAAAATACGCGACCTGAAGGCTAGTGTTGGTAAGTGAAAAAACTGCTCTATTGTGAATTGCTAATGGGAAAGTGGAGAGGGAAATTTTTGTTTCCTTTTATACGTGATTTATATTTTAAAAGAGTATATATATTACGCAAATACGTCGCATAATTACTCACTTAAATTGGTTTTTGTATCTTAATCCCGTTAAACTAATCACATTTTCTTGCCAGCTACCAACAGGGTTGCTTAAGTAGCTAAAAGGAAATTTTACCCGAGTTGAGCGTTCCTTTGTCGCTCGCTTACAAAAAAATGCAGCTAATTTAGAAATTGTCAAAAATATGCCTTTTTATCAAAAAGTTGTTTACCAGGGTGTCTTTGACCTAGTGGTTGGTACTGAATTAAAGAATGCACACACATAAAAGATTACAACCTTTTCAATACTCATTCAGTGTTAAACCTTTTTTAATTTGGCATTGGTTTTTTCAAACTTGCCATGAATATGTTCATATTCATAGCTTAACCTCAATCTTAAGCGAACATAACCTCAATCTTATATTACGTTCAAATTGGCCCCATTTAACTTGTGAAATGAAAAAGAGCTTTTTGGAAAACACAATCGTCCACATTGAACATTTGGAGTTAACTTTGACGGTTGTTTGATTACCAATAAAAATTCGAAAAAAAATATTCAAAATCAAGTTTTTGTGTTTCAATTCAAAATGTTTAGTTCCTATGCACTATTTATCTCTGCGTACGATGAGACATCATGGGAAATAACTAAATACCGCCTTTGCCTCTTTTTTGGCGGGCAGACAGGCATACAATTTTGATATTTTTTGATAATTTTTAATATTTTGCAGAATATAAATTTTTTGAACGTTGGCGTGTCACTAGAAAGCTTTTGGGTCTTTCTTATTGGTCGGAGCAGAAGCTTTCTGATACAACTCTGCGCTGCTGCGCTGAACTGGTTTTCAAACGAGTTAAATGATTTAACTGGTTCAATTTCCCAACAACAAGTGCATGCGATTTAACTTGTTTATGAACATGTTTTTTTCATTTAACTGGTTTAAGCCTATTTAACATGTTTAGCTCGTCAATTTGAACGTAGTATTAAGCGAAGAATAAGTAATGAAAACTGAATAGAAAAAAATTGTTGATTTAAAATTGAAAATGATTTCACACTTACACAGCTCTGGAGCATACATACATTAAACAATTATAACATTTCCTGAGCTTTCATTTGCGAGGATCTGAACAAAAAACAATGATTTATTTGTTTTTATCGTATGTGGCTAATAAAATTAGAAAATACCCATATATGTAATACTCCTATATTGGCAGTAAGAGCTAGTACCGTCCGAAAACACTACAGTACAGATATATCAATAAACACGTACGAAAGAAAAGGAACACATACGTTTATAAATAAACATGTAGACAACACATATACAAAAACGGCACTCAAGTACACAATACATTGACAAAAACGGTAGTAGACTGTCTCGCTTTGATTTCGGAATGCTTACACATTGAGAAGTTAGCTTACTGCCAATATAGAAGTATTACATATATGAAAATACCTAATTTTCTGAAACTTTAGTGGTATTTTCCATTTTTGTGTTTTATAAAATTTGCTTTCGGATGTCAACAAACAGCAGCTGTAATGGCAATTTGACTTTTTGCACATTTTTTGCCAGGAAAAAAGTTCTGGCTGCTTCGATCCAAATATGGAAAGTATTCGCTTTCTTCTACCGATTTTTCTAGCTTGAGGAACGTTTTCTGGGCATACATCTACTATCTTCACGATGCCTACAACGTGGCGATTCTGCAATGCCATAGGTACATTTATGGTAGCGTGTACTCGCCGCATCGACATCGCCGATAATTAACATGTTCCCTTTTTCTGTAATCGTACAATTCTCTAATATATATTTAAGTTTCGCCGCAGCCGACATTACTCCAATTAGCTCGGTCAAATAGGGACCCAAGGCCCTGAATAAACTCTTGAAAAGCACAGAAAAGTCCCAAGCCTTTTCATTTTGCCAATTAGTTCACCGTGCAATTTCACGAGAGCCATAGTACTCGGTTTTACCATATCACGCAGAGATCGAGTTCCTAGCATCTTTTGGAATTAATCGTGACGGACATCAAAACTTTAGCTCGACCTGACTATCCCTAAAAAAAATTAAGGCATCGGCTCCGAGTCTAATAACTGCGTCTACGTACCTCAACACTGCAGGGCTTTCAGACATTTACATATGTGCAAACCGAATGGAAGAAGGGACAAAAAAACCAATATTCTTCTAAGACTAATTGATCATTGTTTCTTTTAACACAGTAGACTGAAGTCAAAGTATATATTAAATTCCATCAAATCCGTTGTTATTTCAGAAAGAACAGTTTCGGAAAGGAAAACAACTATAAGTAAACTACGTTTGATATACATAAGTTTCAAGCAGAATTCCATTTGCTTTCTTAGTAGGTACATTTATAGTACATATATAAAAAATGAAAACTGAAACAAATTGTGGGAACGTTTTTCCCAAACATATCTGACAAACATGCGTTACGAATACATACATACATATGTACATCTTAGCTAACATGTTTGCATGCATAAAAAACTAATGCAAAGTCCTAACTCAACTTACGTCCGAGTCAAATGAGGTAAGCTTGCTTAAAAGTGCTGTCCGCTTTTGCGCCAGCATATCCTTAAACATCTCCGTAGTCGACTGTCCATCCTGACTGTCGGCCGAAGACATACGCCTATTTGCAGCCGAAGTCGCTGCTGTGCCAACCATGTGCCCAGCACGATCAGTTTGTGAGGAACTTTTACGCGATTCCTGCGGCGATGCCCATTCGCTGCCCAAACCTGAGTTCGAATCCATAGGACTTGATGGAGAACGGAGATTCTCACGGCTTCCCATGGGACTTGTCGCATGACTGGATAGCAAACTCGAAGACATGTCGGTAGTTTCATTAAGCTCTTTGCTCCAATAGTGAGTGTGTGCGATCTCCATCATTTGAAATGCCGACGCCATGCCACCTAGCCCAAAATTGGAATAAGTGACCTCAAATCCAGCTGTTAGAGCCTGTAGACACTTTAACATGCCTTTCCAAACCGGTTTTGGAACACACTGCAATCGAATATTTTTAGCAATAAGGAGAAAACTATGCGAAAGTTAAATATCTGCATACACTTACCACATCGTCTATGTGATCGTCTGGCATAATTTTCTTGTCCAAAGTTTTATTGAGTTTACTCAGCACCAACGTACGATAGGATTCGTCTTCCATTAGTTTTTTTAAACGATTCATCTTCAACCAACCAACACCCTCTCCGGCTAGTACCTGTGTGATGACATCCTTCAAAAAGGTCTGATTTTCTGAATTACTGTGCGAGCGTTCTTGATTTTGTTGCCGCGTGATGTCTTCCTGCGTTTGTCCCGGCCCAGAGTGTTTGATGAGTGGTGTGCGTTCTACTAGACCTTTTCGACTTGGAAATGGGTCGAAATTAACACCCGCTTTTGATTTTTGCTGCATGTTGCCAGCACTCTGATGTACGCGGGGTTGTTGTTGTTGCTTTTGCTGATTCTCTGCGATTTTTATGCAAATAGTTTACTTTCTAAAGTTTATGTATTTGTAGTTAGCAGAAATTGGCTTACTTTTGCCACCGAACATGCCTGAAAACATGGTGGACGTCGAAGAGGCAAGTCCATTGAAGTCGCTGCCAATCGATGAAAAAAAGTTGCCGCCGGAGCCTTGCATTTGTTTTTGTGTAGCAATTTGCTGCCCCGGTGCATGACTATGATCTTCCATCTTAATGATGCCCTTCTTGGTTGCCGCTTCCTTAGCAGTTTTCGTAAGATCGCCAATGGTGGACTTGCTGACGTAGGTCAAATCGTCGAAGGTATGTTTGCTGACGCCAGCAGCCTGCTTGGAAACTTCTAAAGCTTGCTTGGATGCTTCTCCGGCAGCTTTCTTAGCGTGCAGCGTAAACTGTGCCGTCAAGGAATGGAAAGTTTATTAGAAAGGTTTTTTCTACATTCTTTTGGTGCAAAAAGAAAAGAAGGTGAGAACTGAGATATTACTTATGTAAAACAGGCAAAATAGAAAAGAATAATTTGAACAGTGATCATAATACTCGATAGAGATTGTTGTGAGTCTCGTGCGTGATTCAATGTAAAAAAGCGCGATACCAAGTACTTTGTGGTAGAAGATAATGTGATCCTTTTTGAAAAATGGTGAAAATGTTCATTTCTAAGTATTGCATCTAATATTTTTTCAGCGAAATTCGAAACCTCTGATCATTTGCTATGTTTTACTTCAAGAATGGCTCTTTAAGTTACAAACCTTTTCAAAAGTGTGTCGCATTTTTTCGTCAAACTCTTCTGGTATACTACCTTCCACAGAATGTTGCTAACAATAATTGTTTTCAGAAACCAAAGATTATGTTAAATTAAATACCAAAATAACAAAGTTAAAGAACAAAACAGCGCGTAGACAGTTAAAACCGTGGACCGTGCAAATTTTAAAAGTATCTACTACCATTTTAAATTCTAAGTTGCTTGAAAAAATATAAATTTTATTTCGCTTACTGTTTACAGTACAACAAACAACCCGCCTTCGATGTAACACATGGAATGGAATCATTCTAACGAAGTTTAAATTTCTATTCAATATGAATAGAAATACTTATGTATATATATACATTAGGGAGGTTTAAAAATAAGTACATTCGGAAGTTTTATGCTACAACCCCGTTTTATGCTACAACCTGTTTTTTTATTTCAAAATCAAAAAATATTTAGTGGTCGCTCAAAGCTCTTATAGTTTTCCATGTACTTTATATGGGAGAAAATTTTTCGTAGAAATGGTATAGAATCCTTTATTTTTCGATCGGGAAACTCTTTTTCTCTTCAATTTCTTCCAACAATTATACCTAATTGGGTACTATTATTTTCCAACCTAAAAATATGGGCCGTCAAGAATTCTATACCATTTCTGCGAAAAAAAAAATGTTTTTCCATATAAAATACGTGAAAAAATTTGAGGCGCTTTGAGCGACCTCTACGTATTATTTTGATTTAAAAATAAAAAACAGGGGTATATTTTTTTGGTAAATAAAAAAAAGTACTAGGGAGTTGTAGCATTAAAATACCAAAAAATACCGACTTACTTATCTTATGAACGCCATAATGTACATAGTATATATGTATTTTATGTGTATCAGAACAAGTTTACATCCCACACAGCTCGCAACGAGGTCGAAATAAGTAATTTATATTCTCATACAGTCTGATCTAGGCATATTGACTAATACTGGTATTCAGTAAGGCAATTTCAGCTTAAGTCACTAAATGTACGACTATCAATTAGTGAATCTTTTGAGATGATTTGTGTATTCAGTATGAGAGAGTCACAAATTTTTTGTGACCGACTCAGAGTCAGCCGACAAATTAGTGACTTTTTCTGAGACTAGAGACGTGAGATAGCTTACTGACCAAATGTTCTAAAAATAGATAATCACCACGAAAAGTCACTATTAGTGACTAGAGACTGCTTACTGAATACAAGGGTGAAAGCACAGTGAATTTACAGTCCGTCAGCCAACATTCTCAGAGTAGCCATAAAGATTACCTTACCGGTTTGAAATTTATTAAAATGTTGATATTATCTTAATATGTGTATGTAGTTCAAATTTTAGAAAAAGACAAAATAGATATATTGTTCGGACCATTTTAAAATATGGGAAAAGATCGACTGGGATCTGCGGCTCGCTGATGTTACGGGCATAAAAAAGGCCGATAGACTATCCAAGGAAAGCACTGTACCGATTTTAATATAAACGTTTTAGCACAAGTCACAAAATAAGTCAAGTCTCGCTAGAGATCCACAGGATGGTTGATATAATTACTGGGCAGCATTTTACAAGACACCAGCATTAAAACATCCACAAATTCGCAAACGACTCTCAATCCTGCTTAAATAAGCAACTCTTATTCGACTGGCATAAATGGGCCGTGGGATTCCGTCTCCCAATTACTCCGTACGGCCGCGGAAGAGATTGTTGGTTATTACGGGTAGCCACCGCGCAGAAACAACTGGTATAACGAAAAGTGCCAAGCAGCTGCTGCACAGAAATACACAACATAAAAAGCTACCCTGCAGCCAATGGCGACAATGTATAAGGACAAACCTCACGACCCTTCACTCTACCAAAACTAAGTGAGAACAGCACTGGTCCAGAATCGGCATAAATATACTACTGATGCGGGCTGTTGTCTAACCACATCATTGGTATACCAAAAGGCATAGCCTTCTTCTTTTCACTTTTCCATTGCAAAACACTTGAATAGCAATTAAAGCAAACTTTTTAGGAGCATAGTTTACGTCAGTGATAAACTCTTGCGAGAAATATTGTTTATAGGCTTCCAAAAAACAATCACTCGCATTGCCACATTTTTCATCGCTTGCTATGAAACGTCCACAAACATTACAAAAATGGTCCATTTTACATTTTGGTTCCGACAGTTTTAATACAATATATATTATACAATGTTGTTTTTGTTATTTTTATGAAACCGATGCACTTAACTTAAATCACTCACAAAATGAAATAAGTTCCAAAAAAATTAATAGCGAATTTTATCACGACCGAGCGAAAATTAAAAGACATCAGCTTCGGCTGAGTTTCGAGTCTTAACTGAATCTTTATTTTTGATATTAGTTCGCTTGTACGAAATAAATAAAAATCGCTACCTGTGCGGTGGTTGGAAACAAAAAAGGGGAAGACGAGGAAAAAGAAGAAGAAGGGGAAGACATTTATTGCATTTGACTGCAAAATTCGAAGGTCGATTAAAAAAAAATTCGAACTAACATAAACAAACGCCGCGATACGGGTCTTCTAATTTAGCCTCTATTTTCACCCCTCACTCTCAGAATCGACCTAACTTTTGCTAACCTGAATTTGTTCCACAGTGATGTTATAGCAGTGCAAAATATGCATAACTGTACTATTAGTGTTGTGCTTATAGCTGAGTGCGCAAATATGCTTGCCACAATTTGTTGATATCCAGAGAGGGTCAGGGTTCGAATTCTACTACAGGCAACATGCAAAGACGTTTGTAGTAAGATCAATTACATTTCTGATTGCTTTTAATATTATTTTCCCTCAGTGTAACTGGTGCCAATTGGAAACATCAACAGGCCTATTCTGAGTTGGTAACAAAAATTTTGTTACCAATAAATAAAGTTCCTGGTAGATTTTAAACCCTTTTCGCATTGTGCGCACTGGTAAATTTTGTTAACATCTCATAAGCAGGTAACAAAATATTGCCCTGTGAAGTATGCAACACCAGATTTCATAGCTGAATTGTTGAAATGATTAAGTTGTTACCAAGGTACTTAGAATTGCGGTTACAAGCAGTGGTGTTATTTTTTGGTAACAAACTTATCCGATGTCAAAATGTTCGGTAACAACCAGAATAGGCCTGTAAGTGAAGCCAATTACCACTCAACCTGGTCCTTCCTTTCCTCTGCAACTAGCAGTGGGCACCACATGCATGTCCTAATCAGCGTAGCTGCGGCATTTTAAAGCTCAGCGTCTCTTGCAGTCACAAAGTGTGACTTTCGCTAGTCAAAAGAAGATTTTGCTGCTAGATTGCCTAGTCAGCCCAAAGTAGAACTTGTTAGCAGGAGGGCGTACATTCTCTTTATGTTTTTATTTGGCGATTTTCGAATTCAGGAAACTGAAAATCAAATAGAATTAATTTTACGTTTTGAAAATGGCAGCACTGATTGACTTATTTGGTTTGATCTGCGCATTTGTGTTAGTGGTAAGCGTAAATGTATTTATGTACGTATATATGTACATATACATATATATAAAGTCGTGAATGCTTTTTTATTTGCTACTATGTATGTATGTATTTTGAAGAGGCCCCTGCAGAACACCGATGTTTTTTCGATATAAAATCAGTTTATAGGACATTAGACGCCAAATTCAATAAATATGTATTTTGCAAGTATATACGAGTAAATACGGGTATATATATATATATATATATATATATAGTTTTATCAACAACGAAAACTCACGTACTTGGCCTCTCAACACTCATTAACATTCAAAAGGCCAATCATTAATCAAAGGCATAATTATATGCCGCCTGGAAGCCACAAACCTACAACTTTGGAAGCATAAACAGTTAGTAATTATGATGAAGTGCAAATTATTTAATTATTTTCATTATTAGTTTATACAGTTTGAGAATTCGCTCCTAAAGCAATAAATTTATTCGGTAGAAGTTTATATCTGCCACATCATGGAATTTTTTTTTAGAACTAATGATAGTATAATAACTTCTGTCAAAATATGCCCGAGGATCAATTGCAAAGGCATAATATGACGCCGAAGGCTTAACCCAGCAAACATTTGGAGTCATAAATGAGTCTTTAAGGAGAACTATTTCGGAGCTATTACGCTCATAATGAGCTCTTTTAAGAGTCGGATATGAGTGTGTTTCCCTTCCTACGAATGTCGACTTATATGAGCTTAAATTCATACATCAAATGAGCCTCAATATGAGTCATATTGGACTCTTATTGGCCTCATATACGGCTCATTTTGGACTCTTTTAAAACAAGTTTTGGCCTCATATACGACTCTTTTTGAGACCCTTATCATAAATTGCTACATTCGGACTCTTATTTTAGGTTGCTCTTTGAGTCTTATTCAACTCACTATATTTGCAAAGGAATTCCGCAAAAAGTCCTTGCACATAACATACATACATACTTACATGCATATACACATTCCAACATGCATTCAATAGCAGCAGCTGAAGCTAAATTTTGTTCATTTTTTGTTTTCTAATTATTTTCAATTTCTGTATAAACAAGTTTAGATATAAATTTCAAATCTTTATTGTTTTTATATTGGCACAAGGTGCTGGCTCATAACTTGGCTCATATATGAATCCTGAACGATTCATATAAGAGTAAAAATTTTTTGTTTTTGAAACTCATATTTCTTACCTACCTAGGACACCTTTCGGACTCATATATTCTGAACGCTCAGAATATGTTTGCGGGGAATGTACTTTTCTCCTACTCTGGTACGTATGTATGTACCTAAAACTTTTTGAAACAAAATTTTCCATTAAATTTACTTACACACATACATTTGTATCGCCAATCGGTTTGAACCGGCAAAAAGAAAATTAGGTGAAAAGTTGAGTTGTTAATGTTAAGTTCGAATCAATGTTGCCAGATTCACAGTTTTAATTGTAAATCACCGTTTTTAGACAAGCTTTCAGTTATTTAAATTACCTCCTTGTACAAATTACAGTTTGTTTAGAAATTTCTGAATTGAACGAATTAAAATTTCTCTTTAGTCTTTTTTTTGTAAGCCAATTTTTAAGATAAAAGAGGGCAATGAAGGACAACGTTTCCTCATTTGAAACAAATGGT